TGGCCTCCAACCTAATAGCGATGGCCTCCAACCTAATAGCAATGGCCGCCAACCCAATAGCAATGGCCCCCAACCTAATAGCAATGGCCTCAAATTCCGAAAGTTACAATGCGATGTTTCCAAGGAGGTTTGGCCTCGGCGTGGACCTTGTTTGCGCCTCTACGGCTTGGGGGTCAAGCGTTCGGCGTCCCTGAGTTTGGCTCGGCCGGTGGTGCTGCGGCGCTTGGTGCTGGGCGTAACAGTTACTCGAAATTCTGATGAAAACATTCGGAGTTTGAATGCATCTCAGAATTCTTTAAACAAATTTCAGCTTTGGGCATCTGCATCCCAAAGTGTGAGGATTCAGTGGCACGCTCTTCCAGCAGTTGGGGGAAGGAGTCCTTTGTGTGCGGAGAGCTTAAGGCTGAACGGGCTTAGCTGATTCAGCAACTCCAAGACAAGGGGCCTTCTGCCAGGGTGTGGAGAAATGGTGCCGAAGCCTTGAAGACATCGCCAAAGATGCGAGAGCGTCTAAGATGAATGGCGCAGGCATGGATTCTTGGATTGCCTGCAGAGATTGAATTTTTTTGTTCCCCTGGACAAGCGGAATGAGTTTTCTTGAAGGCCGGGGCACCTTCTACACAGATGTGGGGGACAGCTTGCTGATGGTGGATCATGCACTTCAGCTGCACAAACCTTCGCATGAAAACGTACCGAGTTGCGGAGAGAGTCACTTCGAATTGGCAACGCTGTTTTCCTCAGCCTTTGCCAGCTGCAGATGAGGTGGTTTTCCATTCCGTGCCTTCGGAGGGGCTGCTCATAGGATCCTTGGCAGTCTCTGCGACTCAAGAACCTGATGGAGATGCAGAGCAGGCATTCACAGAAATGAGTGAATGAAAGCAAAAGTTATAGAGCATAAACGCAGGACATGACGTGTCGGATTCATATGTGCAACTTTGCCCGGAACTGCGGAATTGTGCTGAGAACCTTGCTGGATTCAACTGATCGTTCAAGTACGCATGTTTGAAGCAAGCAATTGACAATCGGTGTAGGTTGGAGGCCATGGCTATTAAGTTGGAGGCCATCACTATTAGGTTGGAGGCCATCACTATTAGAGTGGAGGCCTTCTCATGTGCTTCTCAAGCGCTCACAGAGCCAAGTTGCATATCTCAAGCGCTCACAGAGCCAAGTTGCATACCGCTCAGTTGGTGATGCTGCTGCGGCGTGCTGAGCCTCAACACTCACATGTGGCACCTCCAGGACTTTTTGAGGCTGTGTTGGAGACCATTTCTGCAAATGCGGTGCCTGAGCAAAATTTGCAACTCGAGTAAAGAGCCAAGGATAGCCCTATATGCGTTGTGCCGTAAGCATCATGGTACAAACCGGGCTGCACTGCCACCAAGGCAGTTTGGAATGCCAATCAGATTTTGGAGTGACTTGGCCTAAGCAAATTGAGCGCTGCCCAGTCTAACAGCTGGGCATTTGGAGGCATGGCCTGCGCCTGAGTGGCTACGCCAGCGGCGCAGAACGGCTGAGCACCAGGGTGAAGCTCCTTGCGAAGGCGTGTGCAGTGCTCACCTGAACTACTATTGTTGATGTTTGTCCAAATTTCAGCCTTGTGCTTGCCCTTCCACAACGAGCATGGAATCCGAGCAGAAGCTTTTTTGAGATTTCATGCTGTAAATGTCAAGGCTGCGACCAAGCAGATGGAGGAGATGATGAGACCAAAATACCATGACTACTTAGCGTCGTTGGATCCGGACACACCACTCTTGGAGCTGGAACGGCGGCTTGGTGAAGGTACCGAAGGGGCGATCTTTCGCTGCTGCGTCGGGTACGTGATTTGTGAATTGCTTTGGCAATCTGTTGCTACTAGCAAACATTGTTACTACTGTATAGCGGTTGTTCACAGTAAGATTTTGTGGCCATCGATACGTCAGTGGGATATGCATGCGTAAGTGAGCAAATTGGCGATGCGTAAGTGAGACCCTTGCTGCTTGCTGTACCGAAGGGACCGGACAGGATCCGTTGTGTTTCTTTATTACAAGTAACTAGCAGTAGGGTACTGTAGGGTTGTGTTGCCCAAGAATCTGATGACCAACATGATGCAACATGGAATTGAAGGTAACCGCTATTGAACGGGTTTTGTGAAGGCTTTGGTTTGCTTTTTCAGGAGCACTTTGCTTCGTTTGTTTTTTTTGCATTTGCTTCCCCTATGCTTGCCCTATGCTTCTCCCTTTGAGAACTCTTCTCTCTCTCTCTCTTTCTCTCTATTATAGTATTTGTATATATATATATATACAGTAATTCTTTCTTGTTTTGGGAATCCTTCACTGTCCTTTACAGACTTTTGGAGCAAAGATCAAGCTGCTTATGAAAGAGAGCCCTGTCAAGTCCAATTTGGAAGCCCCCCAATGTTTTTGCAACTGTTCTTGGGAAAATTAGATGCATCTTTGCAAAGTTGCTCCTTGCAGGCCACCCCCCAAAAAAATTGCCAGGCTTCTAAGCTTGGTCACCAATCCCTTTCGGGGCTTCGATTGACGATGGATTCTGCATCGTCATGCATGCTCCTGACTAGAGCATTTGTATTGATAAGCTTTCTTCTTGGCCACACAGTCTGAAGATGCAACACTGATTTTTGATCTGATTACACTGATTTGTCTGAAGTGGGTGATTACACTGAGTTCAATTGATCTGATTTTTGAAGTGCGTGTGTATCCTAGATGGCAAACGAGCAGGCCTACAAACTCTGCCTCGCCACGAAGTCTAAGATATTCTGAATTGGATGCTCCTGGAAGCTTTTACAGGTCATGAGGTTCTCAATTTGTTACACTTGCTGTAAAACTGTTGATGTCATTAGATAACAGAGTTGCGATTTTTTGCTCCAAGAGTTCTGATGTTGAATCCTGGCGCCAGAACTGGACAGACCTGGAAGCCGAGTCAAGGAGTCTGAGGAAATCTCAAGTCTTGACAGTCTTGACTTGTGAAAGCGTTAGCAAAAAGATGCAACTGCAAGTGAAAGTGAGGTGCAGAGTGCCAGTGCTGTCGTTTCATGCTGCTTTCATTTTGGTAAAATGTTTGCCTGTAGAGCAAAGAGGGCCCGGGCAAGGCTGCCACTCTTCTCTTTTTAGAAATGAATGAATCTAGGAACCAAATAAATAGCGTGAGTGATCCTGGGTCAGTTCGCTAGTACTGGGTTACCTAGTTGTTTGTTTAGCCTTTACTTATTAAGTAAGCGCCTACTTAATTAAGAGCGGGCTAAAACATAAAAGGACTTACTTCGCATTGGCGGGTTCTTCAATTGGACCCTAAGGCCGAACAGCATCAGCAGATCTGCAGTGCCTGAGCATGCGACTTTCTTCACGAAGGTCAAAATCCGTCTTTGTTTGAAAGCAAATAAGAAGTAAGCTACTATGAACAAGAACACTTGCAAATATTCCTACATGCAGTAAGCTACTAGTAGCAAAGGGCATCGCTACGAACGGAGCAAGGACGCTACGAATGTAGCTCCTGGCATTACTCCTAGTAGTAAGAAGACGCTAGTAGTACGGAGACTTAAAATATGTTTTGCATCGAAAGCAATCAAGCTGCATGGCTCGACAGGCTTTGTTTGACAAAGCGCAAGCGCTGGCCTTAGGACTGAAGATCATTCAATTTGTTCATTCAATGTTTCTTTGGCAAGGCAAAAGGCACAGCTGCCACCAAGAAGGCTCAGCTTTTCGAAGTGAAGAGCCACTGTAAAATATGAAGAACCACTTGTTTTGCTTGGATGTGCTGGTCAGTCTTTGCTAGGTTCTGGCCGAGGTTTCCTCCTGTCGGTCTGAGGGTACTTTGTTCTACACCTGCAACGCTTGCAGGTTCTGTACGAGTCGTTGGCTATTTGGGTAGATGTAGCCAAAAGCTAAGCCTGCTGCGAAGCAATGTGTTGAAGGTATATCCAGCCACAATGTATATATTGGTGCATTGAGAATGCACATGGCGGACTGATAAAGCCGGTCAACTAGCTCAGGTTCCAGACAAGACAAAGAAGGCCAAGGTGCCCTTGCCTTCAAACAGGGGTCAATCAGATCCTCAATGCATCTGGGCATGAAGTCAAACATAACTGCTGCAGGACCTACGGAACAAAGCTGCAACCTTGATACAGGACAGATATTTGTCCTCCGAGCACCGCGACAATGAAGAAGGGCCACCCCACGCTAATGGTGATATGTTCGGATTCGTGAAACAACGGCCCGAGGTTTTGGTACAGAAAAACTTTTAGATGTCAGCGTCCTTGCTACTAGCAGCGATGCCCTTTGTTACTACTAGCTTCTTGTTCCTAGTAGTAAGGCCAGGAGCTACTAGTAGCGTCCTTGTTACTATCAAGTCACCTGAAGCTTTGAGCACATATACCGCAAGTTCACGATTGATCGGTCTTTGTCCCAGATGAGGATCAGGGCATGGATGTAAAGCCACCCCAGGAAGACCTTGAATGCGATGAAGGTGGATTCATGATTCTGTACTGAAGCGAACGGCAATGTTTATACAAAGATTGCAAAGCTTGTCTAATATTGCACTGTTCAGTCTGTTCCTTTTTGATCTTTTGAGACGGAGACACTTTTCACCGTTGGCCTTGCTAGCTTCTACGCTGACATGCAGGTATTTCTCCCCCAGAGCCAAAGACAAGTACAGAGGTTGGTAGCAGCAGATCAGATTATTGCACTGGGCAAGCACCAAGCTGACACTCTATGGTCATCAATTCTTTTGGTGAAGCTAAAGCAAATAGAGGTTTCTTGGCCACAAAGTTGTATAGAGTTTTCAAGAACGTGCCAGATAGCAAACGCACTTTGCTCAAAGGAGTGGCTGCAGCAACTTTTGTCATTGCGACCGCAACCATTGGTGAAGTCCTGAGCAACACTTGGGGTATTTGGAGAAATCACTACAGGTCTGCCACGGAGAAGCAACCCTCCACTCACTCCACTCAAATCTTTGAAACATTGCTGGTCTACTTTCTCGACCTTCGACCTTCTACAAGACAAGATCAGTGCCAAGATCAATTCTTGTTTGTCCTTGCATGATGCTTTTCTGTCGTTTTAGGAGCATCTGTACTGTAGGTCGTGCGAGGTATGTTTGCCGACTGGCAGCTTTTGCCAGTGCTACTACGTGCCTCTTCGTTTGGCTCACAGAAAGTGAGTTGGGGTGATGTTTGCAAGAGAAAAGATGATTGGCAGAATGGTACTGGCTTTTAGTCTGCAGACCAGACATTTTGTCAAAGGCGGGCGAATAGTTTTACACAGCTTAGGATGGACCAAGGACTCTGAGTGTGTGAAAAGCAGTGGCTCAGGCATCCTCCAAGTGACACCTTTAGCTTTAAGGAGCAGCTTCGCATCCATTTCATCTCAGAAACGCTAGGCCGCTAGGGGCTGGTGCTTTTCGATTTGTTTTTCTATCAGTGAGGACCTTGCTGCAACACTTGCAGAGACATTTGGAGGGACTTTCTCCCCCTTGACTGAGGCTGGACACTCTAGGATGCAAAAGGTCAGGATAGAAAATCTGGATTTGAGTTGGCTAGTTCTCAGTGCTAGGCAGTCCTCTCAGCGGTAACGGATTCATCGATCCGCCCAGACCTGAGCAATGCAGATCGAAATGGGCTAATAGCAATGGCCTCCAACCTAATAGCGATGGCCTCCAACCTAGTAGCAATGCACTTGGATGTCTGGCACTCACAAACAAGAACGCGTTCTCGCAAGTGAACAAGAACGCGTTCTTCTATTCGGTCGAATTCATTGAGCAAGAGATGTGGCTTCTCAAGGCCTGGGAAAGCTTGGTAGAGGCCCTCCGGCCAAGCTGACCCTTGGCATGCTGCGGCAGTTCTCGCAGGTGGTCAACTCAATGGCTCATATGAATGAAGCTCCTACTTAAATAAGTAAGGGAGTAAGCTCCTAGCTACTTGAGCTACTACACATGGACGCAGGATAGCGCTCGCACTTTTCATTTGGTTCCGAGATTCATTTCTGTAAGTGGCTCATTCGGCCAAAATTTGAGCCTTTGCAATTGACCAAGTGGCTTCGCAGGAGGTGGTTAAGGGCGCGTTGAAAAATCTCCAGGCTCAAAGTCGATCTCTTGCACTGATGCAGACGAATGCATGATCGAGCTGCAGCCAGCTGTCCTTTGGGTGTGCAAGCTTAAAGCTGAGAGATCTTCTTGTCAGGCAGCGGAGTTTCGAATTCTTGGCGCTGGAGCTGTTGTGCTCAAGGCTGCCAAAAGCGGTAGCTACTGTAATTGTTGGAAAGGAAGTGCTGTTTGGCGGTGCCTTGACTTTGCAGAGTCAAGACTCGAGGCCATTGCAGTTTTCATGGACGAAGCAGCTAGGGAACCACGAGTCGAGGAGAGTGAGGAACTCAGCAAAAAAATCCAGCAATAGCCGTCCTACCGATGGAGAACCAGTGATTATAGTGTGATTAGCTATATCTTTTAAGGGTGCAAGCTTGGCGTGAGGCAGATGGGCAGATGAGTGTGTGATTGCTTGATTCTCTTTGAGGTGACAGTGATGACTCAGAGTCTCCCCGGCCACCAAAGCACCGGCCTCAAGCTCTGCCACGCCAAGCTCCTTGACTCTTGACGTTTGCTGGACAGAAATGACAATGATTGTGGACGCGAAGGCCTGCTCCAACGACATTGAGCAACTTTGAAGGCCCTCCTCTTTTGCAGTTTTTGCTGTTTGTCAGACTTGCCCTATCATTCACTAAGGAACAAGAAGCTACTAGGGGTTCCTGGCCGTACTACTAGCAGCAAGGACGCTACTAGGGGCTCCTGGCATCACTACTAGTTACTAGTAGCACTACTTGTTGGACTCAAAACGAACAGTTGACTTTCACCACGCACAAGCACCAGTAGAATGCCCTGATGGATTTAGGCTATGCCTGGAACCTTCTGCTGGCCATGATTTTCCAAGGGGTGGGGAACCTTGGACCCAACATATTGCACTTGACCAAGCGTCCAATTTGCAGGTTGCGGTCAGTCCAAAGATGAAAGGGCAGGCGCTGGGAGTTGTCGAAATGATGGAGCGTTGCAGTTCAAGGGATTCATGTGATTCATATTACATAATGTAATTACATATATCATATAAAACTAGACTAGACTATACACACACACACATATAATCACATATACACATGTTTGCTAGGTGCATCCTGGATACCTCTCAGCAGTGCTGAAACCTGCCTTTGCTGTAGCTTGGCGGGCTTGTTTTTCACCTGATGGTGCCTGCGCCACTTTCAAGCTTTCTTAAGAGTCTTCTGGCCAAGGCAATGGTCGGAGAAATCCCTGCTGCCTCCAGCCTCACAAAGGAGCAGTATGCAGTGTTTGAGCTTGCGTGCTCGGAAGTGTCGACACTGCAAGGAACAGTTGGACACTGTCTGCGGCACTGGTGAAAGCTTCATTGATACTGCCCGGGCATGCCTAAGGCGCTCTCACGTCAGAACATGTTTGTAGGGTCCATTCAATGATCAGCAGTACCAGCCAGTGCATGGTTCTGAAAAAGGTGTAATTGTTGACCAGGACATAGAAGTAGATTTTCCCATGTAGGCACTTCGCCGAAAAGGCCGACAACAAGGAGGCCATTGACCAACAGTGGAGGTTCAATCTTGGAACAGCTAATGGACCCCGACATCGGATCCCGGAGGCTTGAATGGCTTAGGACCCCAGAGCAAAGTGGGGATTCATCGTAATGATTGACCAGAATTGCAACACACTGCTGTCTCCCCCCAAAAAGGCTTTTGAGAGAGGAACATACGCTGTGAGTACAGACCTAGTCAACCCTTTCAGATGGTGAAAATGCAAGCTTCACATGAGGTGCTGCGTTTTATGCATGCTGGCTTCGTGTCGGGGGCACAGAAAGCTGAGGACATGAACTGGGCCATGGACACGAACTCAGAAAGCTAAGGCGTCGACAAGCTGCACGAGACTTTGCACAGCTGGGTCCGCGGCAAAGACAGCCAAGGAAAACCGATCCCTACG